TGCATTATGCGTTCCAAAGAATTTTTAGGGTTTGTAAGAGTAATTAAAATGTCATCAGCATATAAGCTAATTTTTTGATCCTCATCCATTATTTTATAACCATGGATCTCTTTATTATTCCTAATATTCTCAGCCAATGGCTCAATAGTCAACAAGTAGAGCAATGGTGAGAGGGGACAACCCTGTCGGGTACCATTTCTAAGTTGGAACCATGGGGCGACTATATTAGGTCCAATAGTTCGTGCAACAGGATTTACATATAGTGCCATTATAGCTTTCTTAATCCAACCTTCCAATCCATAATGTTGTAAAACGGCTTCTAAATATTTCCAGCTGACTCTGTCGAATGCTTTTTCGGCATCAATCGACAGAGTCAGAACTGGAACATTATATCTATTTGCGTCATCCAAGATATTAATAATTTTCCTTATACTTGTATAGGAATTTCTACCTGGAACATATCCTATTTGATCTTTATGGATGATTAGTGGAAGAAGTTTTTTTATTCTAGCAGCCAAAACCGAAGCGTATAACTTAGTGTCAACATCTATTAAAGATATCGGACGGTAGTTTTTGATATCGGTGGGGTTTTTATCATTTTTTAGAATAGGCAAGATATTAGCTTTTAGCATCTCTGCTGGTAAAAATCCTCTGTTTGCCGCTATGTTGAAAGCAGAGGTCAAATGTGGACATATTAAATCTTTAAATGTTTTATAAAATAGGTTGCTAAACCCATCCGGGCCTGGTGTTTTAGATCTTTCTAAATCATTTATTGCTTTCATAGTCTCCTCCATAGTTATAGGTTTATTTAAAAAATCATTTTCAATAGAAGTTAATTGAGGCTTCTTTATATTATTTAAATAGTTTTTAATATCCTCATCTGTATTAATCTGAGGAATATTGTATAGATTGGAATAATATTCATTAAAACACTTTCCAATCTCTCTGGGGGTTAGTGCTATTTTTCCATTCTGTATTATTTTGTCTACCTTATTTTGTACTTTTTGTTTTCTAAGTTTTTGGGATAGCATCTTTTCAGCTCGATTGCCTTTGGAATAATATTTAAGTTTTAATCTAACCATATTTTTAGCTATCGTATCCATTAATTTTTGCTTTATTTTTTCTTTAAGTTCTAATATTTTTTCATAAATTTCAGGAGATGGAGATTGTTTATTGATATGAGTCAAATCTCTTAATTCTGTATGTAAAAATGCCAAAGTATTATTTTTATCAAGTTGGCTTTGTAACTTGATAATATGACCTCTTATAACGGCCTTAAAGGCACACCACAAAATAGATGAATCAATATTTTCTGAGATATTTTCTTTAAAATAATTTTTTATATTATCTCTTATATGAGTTTTTTTTAATTCACAACAAAGCAAATTATCTCTTAACCGCCAAGTATAAGCTTCTCTTTTAAATGTACTAAAAATCATTTCACAAAAAACTCCATCGTGATCTGTCCATACTATCTCGTCAATCTTTGTTTTTTTGGTCATATCAATAATACTTGGGTCGACCCAAATCATGTCTAATCTTGAATAGGAAAAATGCACTTTAGAAAAATGCGTATAGTCTCTCTCATTAGGATTAAAAATTCTCCAAATATCGAATAGATTATATTCATCTTTAATTTTTTTTAAGGCTTTTGCTTGTTTTATAACCATCTGATTTAAAGTATTTCCTTTCATTAATTTTTTATCTATCTGAGGGTCTAGTACAGCATTGAAATCCCCTGCCACTATTAACTTTCCCACTTTAACTTCATCTACTTTTTCCAGAATTGTTTTTAAATAAGCAACTGGTAAATGATTAGGAAGATATATATTACATAATGTAAAAAGTACAGAATCAATTTTACATATTATTATTAAATACCTGCCTTTAGTGTCTTGTATTTGATGAATTACTTCAACTTTAATCTTTTCTCCAAATACCACAGCTACTCCACATTTTTTTTTTTCCTTATTGGAAGCTTGAATTATAAGTGGAAATCTTTTACCCCCCCAATTTTGTTTATCCGCTTGTCTCCAGTGAGTTTCTTGTAAAAATATTAAATTCAATTGTTTTTCACTGAGGTATTTGTACAATAGATTTCTTTTCGCTATAGTATTCAATCCCTGAACATTAAGTGTAAGCATTTTTATCATATTATTTTCAAAAACCTCCCTGCATCCCTTTCCACTCGATAACCATTACCCTTCCCTATTGCTGCATAAACATATCTACACAAACACATAAAACAAAATATTAAAATCATAGGAGGAAATCCTCCTTTTTTATCACAAAGACTGTAAATTTTCATATAGAAATTCAGTCTTTACTGTGTCTTTAAATTAGACACTAAGTGGGCGTATCCAGAAAGAGGTAGTAATATTTACAAGTTTGCAATCTCTCTCCAAGAGGGAGAGAGAGAGAAGAGAAAAAAAAAAAAAAAAAAATTTTTTATACTTAACTCCATTAACTTTCAATTCTGTGTCTTAAGTGGATCTATATCCTCTTATCTTACCAATACATATGAATAATTTACTTTTAGCCACCTCTTTAAATTAAAAACTGATTAATACTTAAACATATTTGCTTTTATCTACTTTTTTCCAGATAATTAGTTAGTACCCTTAAGGTGAGAACAACCAACAATTACTTCAATAAACCTGTTAATTATTCAAAAAAAAAAAAAAACATTTCTTTGCTTATTTTATACTTAACTTCATTGCTCTATGAATAATTTTCTTTTAACCACCTCTTTAAGTACAAATCTGATTAATATTAATACTTAGACATATTTACTTTTAAGTCCTTATGTTCCACATGGTTACATGCATATACCCAATTAAATAGTTCTACATGAGTGAGGACAAAAAAAAAAAAAAAATTTCTTCCATTATTTTATACTTAAATCAGTTACTCTGTGATTCTTTACTTTAAATAAATCTGTTTCTACTTAACTTACTAATACATGTGAATAATTTTCTTTTAACCACCTCGTTAAGTTCAAATCTAATTAATATTAATACTTAGACATATTTGCTTTTAAATCCTTATGTTCCAAATTCTTGTGTGCATATACTTAATTCTCAATTGACTAGTAGCTTTAAAGTGAAAACAAGCCCCAATAACATCAACAAATTAGCAAATTGTGCAAAGCACAATTAAGTGATTCTATATGAGTGAAAAAAAAAAAAAAAAGTTAATTTTCTTCCTCTTTCATTCCTTCCTCTCTCCCTCCTCTCTCTTCTCCTCTCTTCTCTCTTCCTTCCATCTTCCTCTCCGCCGCAACAGACCCTTCAAGCTTTTTTATTGATACCTGTTAACCAACTATTTGCTTCATTTGCATCCAAAAAAAATTTTCTTTCTTGTTTCCAAGTAAATCTTAAAGATGTTGGATAGGCCCATTGAAACCTGATCTCTGCTTTTCTTAAAAAATCCGTCACGATAGAGAAAGATTTCCTCCAAGTCCTGGTGTAATAAGATAAGTCTTGCAAAAAAATTATGTCTTTGTAAATAGAATTTGTTCGGGGTTTGGTACGGCAGGCTTTCATTAAATTATTTCTCAATGATAATGAGGAAAAACTCACTATTACATCTCTTGGGAGATGTGAAGCTGTTGTATCTGGTTTATGTATTCGGTGAAAATTTTCTATTTTATATTCATCTGTAGGTATTTCTGGTAAAACTTCTTCAAATAAATTGTTTAAATATTCTTTCAATTTTTCATTGGAGATTTCTTCAGAAACACCTCTTACTCTGATGTTTCTTTTTCTTGACCTATCTTCCAAAGCTGCTATTTTATTTTCAAGATTATCAACTTTATTTACTAGAAACTGCACCTCCGTATTAATTGCTTTAATTTGCGTTCCAAACACTTCACATTTTTTTTCCACTTCCACCACTGATACTGCAACATTTTTAATTTCTTGTTTTATCTCATTGAAACTTACAAGCATTTCTTGTTTCAATAAATTTAATTGTAGTTCCAGCGTTTGCTTAAATTGATCTTGGATACTAATTGAAGCAATTGCTTGAGCTTCTGATGGAAATTGATTAAGTGCAACTTCTTGGATAATATTGGAAGTATTACTTGGGTGTGTCTTACTATCAATTATCTGTTCCTGCGGATCTTTAATAGGATCTTTAATAGGAGTTGCAAAAAAACCTGACAACCTCTTTTCTGTTTGTTGAACTGACTTAATTTCTTTCTTTTTTTCCGTTGTTTTCCTGGTTGACATTTTGTTTTATTTCTTAAATGCTTCTCAGTGACAAATTATAACTAGATGTCGCATATAAAATTTCAACTCCAAACTCAAAGAACTAGATTAAATCAATTGGTCAAATAATTGATTCTTGATGCCAATCTCCTCCAACGAGGAAAAAAGATTTCCTTCCACTTTTCTTTTTTCCAGGCCAGTAATTATATACAGGTATGATGCCTTACAGTTATATTTTTTAGTAAATACAGAAGTACTCACAGTTTTTATATATGACTGTTTAGGAGATCACTGAGGGATGTATTTCCTCTTTTTTCCCTTTATTTCTCTCTTATTCTTTCCTTCTTTGTATCCCTTTTTTCTTCTTTTTTTTTTTCGTTTTTTGTTTGATAATTTATACAGGAACTGTTTTTATTTCTTCCTTGACCTTTTTAACGGTCTATAAGGGAATCGCCACTATTTGCCACTATTTGCCCAAAAACGGAGGCAACAAACCCCCAGCAAAAACCGGCATACACCACCACGTCAGACCAGGTCCACTGACCCACCAAATCTTCACCGAACCGAGCCCTCCCTCCACTTCGTCTAAGCCGGACCACACTCACAAATCGGCACGGAGCGGCATTGCTTACTCTCGACTCCGCGTCCTCTCTCCTCAACCTCCCTCCGGACACGCCCACCTAAAGCACGTGCGGCGTCTCACGTCATCACGTCCTCCCCCTGGATAAAACATTTTTTAGATACATAAATGAGAAAAGAAAAGTAAAACAAGGATTAGTTAGATTAAAAACAAAAGAAGGAAGGTATGTAGAAGAGGATAAAGGTCAGGCTGACTGCCTCAATGAATATTTTGTTCTGTATTTACAGAAGAAAATGAAGGAAAGGGACCTCAGTTGAGAAAAAGGATAAATGAGTCATTTATTACACGTGAGTTTACAGAGGAAGAGGTTCTATTTCAACTGTCAAAAGTAAAGACAAATAAGTCAATGGGACCTGATGGAATACACCCAAAGCTATTAAAAGAGCTTAGTGGTGTACTAGCAAAACCATTAACAGATTTATTTAACCAATCATTGTTAACAGGTGTAGTCCCAGAAGATTGGAAGTTAGCGAATGTTGTGCCCATTTACAAGAAAGGTAATAGGGAGGAGTCGGGCAACTATAGGCCAGTAAGCCTTACTTCAGTAGTGGGAAAGTGATGGAAACCATGTTAAAGGATAGGATTGTTGAACATCTAAAAACACATGGATTTCAAGATCAGAGACAACATGGGTTTACTTCAGGGAGATCATGCCAAACTAATCTTATTGATTTTTTTGATTGGGTAACTAAAATTATAGATCAGGGTGGTGCAGTAGACATTGCTTACCTAGATTTCAGTAAGGCTTTTGACACTGTTGCACATAGAAGGCTTATCAATAAACTGCAATCTTTAAGTTTGGATTCAAATATTGTTGAATGGGTAAGGCAGTGGCTGAGTAACAGGCAACAGAGGGTTGTAGTTAATGGAATATATTCGAAGCTTGGACTTGTCACCAGTGGGGTACCTCAGGGATCTGTACTTGGACCCATTCTCTTTAATATTTTTATTAGTGATATTGCAGAAGGTCTTGATGGTAAGGTATGTCTTTTTGCTGATGATACTAAGATATGTAACAGGGTTGATGTTCCAGGAGGGATAAGCCAAATGACAAATAATTTAGGTAAACTAGAAAAATGGTCAGAATTGTGGCAACTGACATTTAATGTGGATAAGTGCAAGATAATGCATCTTGGACGTAAAAACCCAAGGGCAGAGTACAGAATATTTGATAGAGTCCTAACCTCAACATATGAGGAAAGGGATTTAGGGGTGATTATTTCTGATGACTTAAAGGTAGGCAGACAATGTAATAGAGCAGCAGGAAATGCTAGCAGAATGCTTGGTTGTATAGGGAGAGGTATTAGCAGTAGAAAGAGGGAAGTGCTCATGCCATTGTACAGAACACTGGTGAGACCTCACTTGGAGTATTGTACACAGTACTGGAGACCGTATCTTCAGAAGGATATTGATACCTTAGAGAGGGTTCAGAGAAGGGCTACTAAACTGGTTCATGGATTGCGGGATAAAACTTACCAGGAAAGGTTAAAGGATCTTAACATGTATAGCTTGGAGGAAAGACGAGACAGGGGGGATATGATAGAAACATTTAAATATATAAAGGGAATCAACACAGTAAAGGAGGAGACTATATTTAAAAGAAGAAAAACTACCACAACAAGAGGACATAGTCTTAAATTAGAGGGACAAAGGTTTAAAAATAATATCAGGAAGTATTACTTTACTGAGAGGGTAGTGGATGCATGGAATAGCCTTCCAGCTGAAGTGGTAGAGGTTAACACAGTAAAGGAGTTTAAGCATGCATGGGATAGGCATAAGGCTATCCTAACTATAATATAAGGCTAGGGACTAATGAAAGTTTTTAGAAAATTGGGCAGACTAGATGGGCCGAATGGTTCTTATCTGCCGTCACATTCTATGTTTCTATGTTTCTATGTATGAAGGATTTGCTAGTGTCAGGTTGTACCAAAATGTCAGCCGATGCAAACAATTTGTAAGAAGCTCAAAAGCCTATTTAACTTCCTTAGAAAATATAGTACAACTTACGTGTCATATTGGTGATGGGGACTATCACAGAAGAGAACCCTTTGATGAATCTCCTATAGTAATTAGCAAAACCAATTTACCTTTGAATGGCTTTTAACCCAGAGGCTAAAATATTATACCCCAAAAACTGTACCTCTGTCTGTTCAAAAGTGCAATTTTCAAGTTTGCAATAAAGCCCATTTTCAAGCAAAGTTTGCAGCACTTGTTTGACATGTTTATGATGAGTCTGGAGGTCGTGGGAATAAATAAGAATATCATCCAGGTATACTAGAACAAAAGAATAAATATAGTCTCTGAGCACATCATTAATCAAGTCCTGAAATATGTATGGAGCATTGCATAAACTGAAGGGCATGACAAGGTACTCATAGTGCCTACTTCTAGTATTAAATGCCATTTTCCACTTATGATCTTCCTTAATTCTTACCAAATTATACGCACTCCTAAGGTCAAGTTTAGTAAATATCTTAGCACCCTGGAGTCTATTAAACAATTTGGAGAAAAGGGAATCGGATAGGCATATTTTATGGTGATCTTGTTTAATGCCCTATAATCAATGCATGGGCGTAATTCTCCATCTTTTTTTGGATACAAAAAGAACCCTGCTCCAGCAGGCGAGGATGACTTATGAGGCATTTAATTAAACAATCTTTGATGTACTCATCCATGATTCTACTCTCCTGTGGGTAATTTCCCTTGAAATTATCAAGGGAAGAAACATTGATAAGTAAGAGCAAGACATCAAAAATGGAGACGGAAACTCCAGCATTTATCACACAATTCAGTAATCAAGCAGGAAAGATCAGACACATCCTTAACAAACATTGGAAAATTCTTAAAGAAGATAACTCATTGGGTATGATATTGGATGACAGACCAAAGATTTTCTACTCATGAGCGCCCAATCTCAAAACTATATTAGCTCCAACGATAAAGGAAATTAAACTATCAAGCAAAAATCAGAAAACTGTCGGTTTTCAAAAATGCAATAAATGTTCTGGTTGCAGAAACAATCCAGCCCAACCAGCTTTTACGAAGAAATTTGAAAATATAAAAGGGGATAAAGAATTTGAAATAAAGTCAGATTTAAGTTGTAATTCCATAGGAGTTATCTACCTCCTAATATGTTCTTGTAAGAAACATTATATAGGCCGAACAAAAAGAAAATTCAAGATCAGGCTAGGAGAGCACATTCGTAATATTAAGAAGGGACTCATCACACATAATCTCTCCAGACATTTTGCAAGTTGTCACTCCAATAATCCAGCAAGTTTAGAATTCTATGCTATTGAGAAAGTGAACTTGCATTGGAGGGGAGGAGACTATGAAAAAGCCCTTGATAAAAATGAGGTGAAATGGATATTTCAACTCAACAGTTTGGAGCCTTTTGGTCTTAATATTGATTTCGAATTAAATGCCTTTCTTTAATATATATTTCAAATTATGGGTTTGTTTTTTTTGGTTTTTTTTCTATATGTTTATTTTAGATATTATATTATATATTATTTTATATTTGTAGTATATATTTTTTAGTATCATTTTTTAGTCCTCATTTTCCAGATATTATTCTATATATTTATAATATTTGAATTTTTAACAGTGTATTTTCTCTCCTCTTTTCTCCATTTCTCCAGGTGTGGTTTGAATTTTTAAACTAATTTTTTTTTTTTAATTCAAATTTTTTAAGTTTTATTTTTGAGATGAATTAAAATTAAAATTCATTTTATTTTTGTATTGTTATATTTTATACATATTTATATTTTTAATATTCTATTTGCTTCATTTTATTTTACTATAGATCAATTTTCAATTGTTGTTTTTGGATAATTAATTTGTGAGAAACCTAAGCATATGATTTTATAGTGTATCTCCATTAGATTGATCAGAATGGTATATTTGTCATTTGTTAGTTAATTAGTATGTAGTAACTAATATGGTAAATTAATTATATGTGAGCACAGCAAGGGTTAATCTAATACTAATGAGAACAGACCGAACAAGTATATAAAAAAAGATTGCAGACTCCAAGATGCCATCCTCTGATGAAGTGATCGGAAATCACGAAACGCGTAAGGCGGCATCTGCACACTAACACATATCGGTCCCTGAGAGTGAGCACTTCTGACACGCATCCTGAGCCGCAGTGGAACGCACGCGGCTAGAATCCAGTGGTATACAGCACGAGGAAAACCTCATTCACTTCTGTCCGGCCGGCAAGAAAGTGATTTTAATATCCTTTGGACTCGAGGTCTGTGATACCTGGTACTGGTGCTGTTTTTATTTGCTACTCTTTTTTGGGACTGTTTTATTGGAAGCTACATATATATTTTTAGCATTTTTTGTGCCTATCTATGATAATAAACTTTTAACAGTATCTGTCTGCTGCACTATATTTTAACCCTATTTCATCCCACTTAATATTAATTCAGTTTTGTATATTGGTTTTATAATCTATCTAAACCTATACTATATTATTTCCAGCAGTACATAGACTCTGCCTACCTTATTTGATAGGAGGTGATGACATTACTAGCTGATACATTTGTATTCAAACTAGAGAGCAATTATTAACTTTCATTTATTG